GATAACAATTTGTATAGATCGCTTTCAGATTACATATTATTAATATTGTCAACAGTAATTGTGACGCGATCCCTATGATTAAACAGTAAAATCCATGTCAAATCTAAATTGTACACAATATTCGGCTATACGTTTGATAAGCTCACATACATTCACAACGTGACAGGAATGTAATAATGTGTAATGTGTACGTCACCTAACGTTACATTTAATATCAGATGAGAAAATGTCTATCATGCGTTCAAAGGAATAAACAGAATAATATTAGAAAACATGTGATACGCATATTAATGTGACGCAATCAATTGGTAATTCATAAGAGATCGTTACAACAATGAAAGCCTTTAAGAAGAAAAAAAATTCTACATAATTAAAGAAATGGACATCTTTTATTTTGAAATTTTGACTATGCTTCACGGTGTGAAGAAAAGTTAAATTGTTAATTTTTTTAGTCAAGCCATTTTTTATGGAACAGGCTAAACGTTCAGGACCAGTCATCTTATGTTAAGTGATACCACCGCTCATGAACACATGTTAGAGGGCCCGCGAGTGCGTAGCCGGCCTTTTAGGAATTGGCTCTTTTCTTGAAGGACTCTAAGGTGAATTGGTACGGAAATACTTCAGTGGGTAGCTGGGTCCACATATGGAACGACGGACGTCCAGGTGAAACGGGTGGAATTAACAATACCCATATTAAACAAACAAACCATAACTCGATGTACATTTTAGGAGATTATTAAAATACATTTAACGTAACAATTTTCGCTGCCAACGGCAAGTAATAATGCGACGCGTTTAATTTGCTAATTTATAATAATTAGCATTAAATTTAATTGAATTAACAACCGTGATATCGAAACGTAATTTCATTGGAATTATATATAAAGCTTCATTCGGTTATTTCGTTTCCTTTACATTTGTATCAATTAATTTATAATAATGATTAAACCACTTAAAAGAAATCGCAACAAGAAAAATTATTCAATTTGGGCTTCTTTATTTTTATTTGTGTTATTATATTGATGCGGAGAAGAACAAAGGCTCCAACATCACATGAATGTCGAGGCTATTCAACTTCTTGACACCACGGGCCTAGTGAGATTAAAAAGGACAAACCATTCGAATTAATGAGTTAGTGCGTGTACACGTCAGAATGAAGTGGAAAAAATAGTACCTAGACAAAATCAGAGTGGTAATCACCCCTTAATATAGACTGTAAGTATAGACACTTTCTTATGTTTAATATACTTCTAAGTAAACTAGGTTAGACTTAAACTACGGATTAGTCTTAAGTTAGGGTAGATCATAATGTTAAATAATGTATGCGTGTACTAGTACATAATAGACACACGTAAGAAGTGAAACTTCTTTATGACCTTATTTTACGAAAAATGATCTACTATATGCAACTTAACAGAAATTGGTTAAATAAAATTAACTTAGATAAAGTTTAAAAAAAGGCTTTTATTATCATAGACATAGATAGAATAAATAAATAGAATACAAATAATACAATTATTTCATTCTACCTTATTACTATAAAGATTATTACAGAATTTCATTAATTGTAACATAATTATTACTATCATTGTTATCGTTATTATATATTTTTGTTTTTAATATAAATTTTATACATTTTATGAACGTTTTTTACCATAAATAATAATGATTTAAAAGCATAATTTCTGGAACATAAGATCACATATTCCACGTCATTAAATTTGAATCTGTAGGCATCCCTACTCATCGGCAAAGAAGACAGAGGGTGTAGGCCGAGAAAAAAAGCCGGCGTAAAAAACTCTCGGTACCTTTTGAAATAGCAAATCATCAAACAACACTTATTTTAAAACAAATATCGCAAATTTAATTATTAGAAGTAGCCTGTCTAGCACCAGTTCCAGGCCCTTTTATCAACTAGATAATCGTTAACTTCATAGTTAGCCTTTTTACATAGATTTTCTTTAATACATTTCTTAAATTTATTAAAAGGCAGAGTTAAAAGAGCCTCTGGGACAATCTTTAATACAAATTAAAGAAGAGTATCCCTTTCCCCAAAAAAGAATAACTAACTTTAGATTGTCTAGTACGGGGAAATTGCAGCCTGCGTTTGTTCAGAGTATTAACATTGTGCGTATGTTCTATTCTCGTAAACTTATGACTATTTTTGTATACATACATAATATTTTCATAAATGAATCTTTATTTCTAGGGGAATCTTCCCTACATTTTAAATTATAGATTGCATTTATAGCCCTCTTCTGCATGACGAAAATAGTTTCGACATCAGCAGCATGACCCTATAATAATAAGCCATAAGTAAATTGTCACTCTCTTACCTATATTATTAATTCTAGATGTTTATTTGTTGAAAAAGCTTGCCAAGGTTATAATATGGAGGGCCTAAAGTGCCAGGCAATAAGTAATAACATTTATTAAAAAAAATACCAAATTCACAAGTTCAGGGATTCTACAGTGTGTTTATAGTCTAGCATCGAAAGCTGAATAGTTAGGATATAAAGGAAGAACGCAACATTTACATTAACTAGCTGTACCCCGCGGTATAGTCGAGTTAATTCTGCCGTGTTAGATGGCTTACTCGTTAATTGGAGTATCCAATACAGCTAAGTTCAATAAGATCCAGTGATTCTGCGCTTAGAAAATTTAACCAAATACACAAACATGTTTCTTTCATTATTTCTAATAATATGGTTCATATATTTTATAATGGCCGAGGTCTCTACCCCAAAACCATTTATTTGCAATTGAGCCTTGACCTGCATGAAATGAAGCAGCTGATAAAATTAGTTTCTTAATTATTTAGGCAATGAACGTATTACTATAATATAAAGATACTTTTGTGACTAATAAAAAAAGCGCATTCTTTATTTTTACATGCAAACAAAACAATTATAAGACAAGAACGTACCACTACTTTAAAGCACAGCAACGCACCTGCAAACCTCCCGGTGTTGTACTAATACCCTGACCCAAAAAAAAAAGATGAATCGAGGTATGCGCTTTAAAATTCCTTATCATAATTTATTCGCAACTGACAGTTCTTATATTTGTGTAGAGAAATTTCTGGAATTGTGTACACAAGTCACGTACTTTTGGGCAACTTTATACGCCCAACGTATACCTCTAGATAAGATTTTGGAAACTGATTGACCCATTTTTTGCTTAATTTTGTCCTCTTTATAAACGATGTACAAAGTGTAAAACTTTTGACTACTTATTTGTTAAAATTTGTCAACGTATTGAAATTTCTTGATTTACTAATATATTTCTATGTAAAATTATTTTCATTCGGTCAGAAAATTTAAAAAACCCTTTGTAGCATACATATACATATAAATAAAAAAATTGAATAAAAAAACAACTAATAGCTGTTTTTTTAAGTCAGTTACTAAATGCATATTTGAAATAAATTATTATTAACATAAATTGCGCCAAATAAAGTATGTATGAGACAATTTAACTAAGAACTTACATTTCACTACAAAACAAAACAAAGCAAGTTCCCGCGCATTCCGAAATGCGGGCGCTGCCAGATTAAAAAATGGAATATTCAATATGGCCCATAGATGGCGCGATTCGTATTTGTATTCCGATAAATCGTTGTAGATACATCTTGGCGTTGACCTGGCCCTGTATCATAATAAAAAAAACTCTGTTAGAAAAATATTGCAAAGTAATATATATTCTGGTTTCGTTTAAAAGTTTAATAAAAATATATTTTGGACAACTTTAACAAAGCATAAAGCTTTCATTTCAGCTGTCATGAATGTAAATAATTTCTTATTTAAAATAGTAAGAGTAAATAATACTTTTAAGTCTTTCACATAAAAGAAGTAGATTAAATATAATAAATTATTATGTACTTATTAATCCCATTATCTGAACACATCATTAAAAATATTGTATTTCTTATTACCAAAACTTTTTTTTTACATAATTAGTTCCAACTTAGTTTTCGTTATGTGAAACATGCGCACGGCTACATATATTTTTTTTAAATTATTATATGCATTAATTAATATATACAGTACTATTAATAACTAAATAGACTCTGCCGTTTAAATCATATAACACAATCTTAATCAAATGTTTATGTATAAACTAATAACTTATTTCCTATCTTGTATTTGTAGATTTTAATATTATATTTTGTAACAATCGAGTCAAGATACTATTGGTAGTTAGTTCACAATTTCACACACAGATGGCGCCACACGCATTACAGTAATTTCACAAACGCGGTAGCAAAGTATGGGCTACGTAGTATAAGGAGTCAGGGATTCCGTGTGATTGTTATCGCTCTGCGATTTAAAAGGCACAGAAAAAGGCTGATCACCTTACTTGTAAATATTTTTGCATGAGATTATAGCACGATAGTGCAAATCTCTTATTAATGAATTAATGATAATGTGGTTCAAATTTATATAAGAGTCTTAACTCTTAGTAAGTATTTAGATTTTAGATGTTAGTCTTACCCTTAGGCCACAGTACCTGCGGCGCGGTTTGCGGCGCGCAAAGCGGCGGGGCCAAAACAAATTGAGAAAATTGTATGAAGTATGCCACTATCGGCGACGCGCATTGCGGTGCGACCTGCGGCGCGGTGGCACCCGCGCGGTGGCGGCGGCGGGGGTCTCCGGCGTGCGAGTGATCAAATGCACTCCAAGAGTATCGAGGCGGCCCACAGCTAAGAGCGCGCGCGCGCGGCATTGGTTGGGACGCATTTAGCATCGCGCGACCAAAACAAATAATTTTGTTTTTATCGCGCATTGAGCTCATATAAAATAATGGATACAAAACAATTTATTAGTGAAATACTGAGTAGACCAGCAATATGGATGTCAAAACATCCACATCATAAATATAGGCATGTTAAAAAAAAATTGTGGGACGACTAATAAAACTAACTAATATACTTGTAAATATTGGTGCCGCGATCGCAACTGGACGAGCTAGTGGCATACCACCTTAACGAATTAACGATAATGTGGTTCAGCACCCTACTTGCCGCGCAGCAGCTCTTAACTCTTAGTAAGTATTTAGATGTTAGTCTTAGACTATGACTTACGTCTAAATGCTTTCCTACTGCTATGCAATGCTACCGCTACTGTTATTGCTACCGTTATGTACCTACTAGGTAGTAGCCAGTAGCCCAGTAAGTACTTAGTACTAGGTATTTATAAGATGAACTAACTATAACGTATTCTGAATAGTGAATTCTGAAATTATGTATGGACGGAAATGGGCTATCCATATTCCACATTGTAAACATAATATGTGATGATGTTGAGATATTTTAAGGGATTAGGGAACTTGAAAAATAATTCCTATTGTTTTGAGTAGGCGCTTGCATTAGTATTTACTATACTTACTGCTAAAATTATAGTAAATATAAATAAGTTCTTTAGCATTATTCCTGGCCCATAATAATTAGGTTGAAACTAATCCACATCAAAATAAAGAAAAGTCATTCAAGATAAACAGCTTGGGATATACCATACTCGCTTTTATTACTCGGTTTTAAGGTCTAAAATAGATTTTACATCTAAATATTTCAATTTTGGCCTCGAGAGGTTCGGCCAATATATAGTTTCGCAGCGTACCTATATCGGATACACAAATTCGAATAGTACTCTCTATAACTATTATATAGGTATATATATTTGTATCGCTTACTGATGTATTAGTAGTAAGCCGCACTCGTTAACTGTCTAACAATGAAGTTATTTTCATGTTTTATTCGTTAATTATTATTCATTACACATTTTTATAGAACAGGGGGCAAACGCAGACGCCCCCTGCCAGAAGGCTCGTAAGTGCGTTGGCGGCCTTTTAGGTAATGTTACGTTCTTATGAAGGACCATAAGTCGAATTGGTTCGGAAGAATTGTTTGGGTTGATCCCTCCTGCCTCTTTTCAACACCGTACGAGCCGTACGACCTCTAAATTTCACCAACATCATCTTGATGGTTGGAGGTCTTCCACAGTCCGTTTCACAAGGCATTTTCTTTTGCGAACTGTGGAATCGACTCCCGGTGGGGGTCTTCCCTCAGAGATACGACCTCCAAATGTTTAAAAAGCGAGTGTACTCCTCCCTCAAAGGCCGGCAACGCACCCACTAAAAATGGGTGTCTATGGGCAATTTTTGGTCGTCCGGCAAGCTCGTTTGCCCCCTTTTATTAAAAAAAAAATACTTCACTAGGCAACTAGTTCCACATGGTGGTGGTGTGCGCAAAAAAGTGGTGTGTGCCTTAAAACGGTTAGTTGTGGTACTACGGACGTGGAGGTGACGATGATGATGAGATGCAGCTGCAGGTATCAATCCGAATAACTCCTCAGTATAATACTGTCCATGGTAGAAAATCTGATTTGACATGACCAAATGACAAGTACACCTTAACAAGCATACTAAACAAAAACAAAACAAAATTTTAATCCTAACATCTCTTTTGAGACTAAATATAATTCTGATTTTTTGATAAATGTAAGAACATTTTTAATACTTGCCTATCATACTTTATAACATCCGGAAAGCCTTATAATGTCTACTATAAATATTACAGGACCCTTAATTATTTATAAAGTAAACGTCCTAAATACAATTATTTTAAAAAACTATACACTGCCACTCTCTCGCGAGGGGGGTTTTTTGCCCCCTTCGGGTTTAAAATGGTATGCTTATACAGTGTGGTACGCGGGGCGGGCTATGTAGCCCTTGATGGGGGCTGCAGCGCGCGAAGAAACGAAGGGATCTACTGAAGAACAGCCCGCAGCCGAAGTCGCATCAAGTGTTGATGTTGTATGGATCGAGGAGCGACGCTCGATTCGGTCATGAGTTCGCGTCCAAGGGTGTCAAGGAGTTATTCAAAATCGGTCCAGTCGTTTAGGAGTTTAATTACAATCACACATTCACTTGCACGGAACGCAAAATATCTATAAATAATAACGCGTTTTAATCTTATAAAGTGTAGTTTCCTTACCTCCTTTAGTTAAATATTTTTGAATTTCAAATCCAATTTAATTCCATTTTGACTGTAATGGCATATAAAACGACTATAAAAACAAATTGAACTGAAACAATTAAATGTATTAAGAATATTTTACGATTGTCTGTCCACAATAAAAATGGACTAAATCAAAAAGTACATTAAATTTTATTAGCCTATAATAACATAGTATTAATGAAAGTTCCCTCAAGTCACTCATGGGGAGTCCTGTTTGTGTCACACTCACATAGTTAATGTCGCTGTACACAAGTAGGTGATCCTAGAACTGAAATGTATGCTTTTTTCATTTCGGGTAATTCGGTGCGCTTATAGTCGCCCTCAGAGGTGATGATTTGATATTTTTTTCTTTATTGGTGATCAGCCTTATGTACCTGACACGAGGTCGACTTCTTGGGTCTAAGGCATGCCGACATCACGATCTTTTTCTTCACCAGCGAGTGTTTTTTTTATAGAATAGGGGGCAAAATATCCTACGGGACGCCCAAAGAGCTGCCATCGCCACCCATGTACACGATTTTTTTAGTGGGTGCGTTGCCGGCCTTCGAAGTGGAAGACTTCCAGCCATCAAGGTGATGCTGGTGATATTTTGAATTGATATGGCTCGTACGCTGTTGAAACGAGGCAGGAGGGATCAACCCAAAAAATGCGCAAAACCCCATTGGGGTTCTTTTTTTGTATAGAACAGGGGGCAGGAGGCTCATCTGATGTTAAGTGATACCACCGCCCATTTACACTCAATGCCTCGGCTCGCGAGTGCGTTGCAGGCCTTTTAAGAATTGGTACGCTCTTTTCTTGAAGGACCCTAAGTCGAATTGGTCCAAAAATTATTTAAGTGGGCCGCTGGTTCCACATAGTTTTTCCGCTCAGTTTTGGGGTTATATAAGTTTTCATCATACCTATATATGGTATAAATTCAATTTAACATTTCCGTTGAATTTACAGTTAATTACTTGGGACTGGCCGATCGCATTGGCATTAAAGTCCCTTAATTACGACATCACATACAAAATAAACCATTCACTCGCATCTAACGTAAATCATAGATACATGTCATAGTAATTACACGCCTTTGAATGCGATTTTCAAATTAAGTGCCTGCGTTATGCAAATATTAATTTGCAGAATAAATGCTAGCCTCGTCATACAGAAGATAAATGTTTCTTTATAGTCCTCACTCGATACGGATCTTGACTATTTTCTAGTGTACACTAATATTATAAAGAGGAAAGATTTTTATGTAAGTATGTTTGTAACGAATTGGCTCAAAAAGTACTAGACCTATTTTAAAATTCTTTCACTGTTTGAATGCTACATTATCAGTGATATATATAGGCTATTTTAATTGCAAGAAAAAATAAAGATCTTTACTAAAATTGCAATAATGTTTTCCAAGGTGTAAAAAAAATGAATATAAAATAGCTTTCATCGCATGCGCTGCGAAAGCGATTGATGATAGAACAAAAAAATGTTCCACAATATTAAAGAACTTATCAATATCTACAAAAATGTATGAAAAATAAATATCCACCCGTGCCACCCGGAATCCTTGTTTATTTATTTCGTAATCCTACAGCTAACATAAATTATATCTTATATATATAAAAGAAAAATGGTCTTCGTTTGAGGCTCCTTCACGCCTAAACCACTGATCGTATCGACATGAAACTACCACCATTCGATGCGAAATTTTTCCTAGATGGTTTATGGCTATTTATTTATTAAATTCCAACGTTCCTTCATTTTTTTATTGCTGTTTTACTTTTATGAAAATTTATCCATACGGACTTCACCGCGGAAACATTCGGGGAGGCTTCCTAGAACCTCTAAACGTCAACATCTGTTAAAAACTCGATTTTCGAAATATTTCAATTTTCTTAGCGGGAAGTTAAAAAGAAGAATAATAAAAATATGAAAAAAAATAAAATAATGAAACATAAAATTTATTTTAATTCGTCCAGCAAAGCGGGCGCGAAACGGCTAGTTATATATAATAACAAACAGTTACACTGAAAATATAGCCAGAAAATATAGAATTAATGCATAATACATTTAACTACAAAAAGTTTCAAAAATTTACAAAAGGAAGGAAATAAAGACAATTCAATACGTTTAACTGTGTGTGGTACCTAATTTGGCTGTGTAGTACGAGGGTGTAAAACTGAGGGTATGTACGTGACGGTGTGTTGCCGATATGTAAATGTTACTTATTAAAATAGCTTTTATTTGTATGTATAAATCGCATGTATTAATAAAAACAATTCTGTGTAAAGTCGTAAAAAGCTTTAATTAATATTTCCTGTTTATGAGAAATTCTCCGTGATAGGGAGTAATTTATCTAAGAGCTTTCATTTTATTTATTTCATATATTTTTCAAGTAAATTTTATTTGTAATTTAATGCAACGTAGAAAATACTATTAATAAAAGATACGCATACCTACTTTTATACAAATGCAGCTCTTTTCAAGGACTTAAAGAGTAAAGGCTCCTCCAACCGGATTCATCTCTTTCTGTCTTCCCCACCTAACTATAAGCTCGCCGGCCTATCGTGGAAGAAGACGACTTCTTTATTTTTTGACGTGACAACGTCTAATAAATCGATTAACGCCGGCTGCACTCGCTAAAAAGCATGACTCATTGTTCCGTTACGCTGATTGTCCCGTTACGCAGATTGTACGCTTGCGCCGCATCTTTCTTCCACTCGAAGACTTAAGTATGCAATCATTTCATCAATGACTTATTATGACGTTGTCACGTTAAACTATCGTTTGAAAACCGACTTTACAACCATTTTTCTTATAGAATCTCGCTGTTTGCCAGATCATTGAGCCTAAGCTCGGCCGAAAGCTTTTCCCGTGACTAAGGCAAGGGTCTTAGATACAGTTATAGACATACATAATTGTCCTATTTATTAACCAATTTATAAATAAGATGTCTTCGTATACAGCTAGCTCGCCAATTCCATAATATATGGGTATAGCAATTAACTACTTGATATGTATCAATATCGGTTATACTCAAGTTAGGGGGCGTCCATAAATTACGTGAGGTGTTTTTTTTATTTTTTTGTAATTCCTCCGCCCCTGGCGGGCCCTGGGGGGTTTAGATGCGGAATTTTATTCAATCCCCCCCATCCCCAATCTATGAGATTTTTCAAAATGTGGGTTTCTTAAGTAAATTGGATTGTTATTGTCATAAAAAATTGCTTCGTGCTTTTATTTTGACTAAGAAAAATAAGTGAAATGTTGAGCGTTTAGGTATGGAGTTAGCGGAAGTTAAGAGATGGCTTTAGGGTAAGTTTGTAGTTTTTCAATCAGAAAAAAAATTGCGTGAATTTGCCGAGACCTTTAAGTAAGATTTAATGAGATTTAACTCGACCCTCCCCTTAAATACTCACGTAATTTATGGACGCGCCCTTATTGCAAAATAACATCCATCTAAGAAAATGTATCGGATTTGAAGTAAAGTTCCAATGAAAATTTTAAATTTTAAAAATGTCTTTGTACAACAACATTCCAGTATATTACTAGTAAACGTACGAATTTTTAAAAGGCCAAAACACACTCGCGAAATTGGTATTTTCAAAAGTCAAAAATCATTTATTCATATAGGTAATACAATGTAAACTTATGGACGTCAAAAAGAAATACATATTAAATGCCTCTAATTTTACATTTACTGCCAGTTCTCAAATCAAGGGCGTAGAACGGAAGAGAAGAACTGGCAATAAACTCTCCGCCACTCTTTTTAATCGCCAAGTTTTTTGTTTTACACAACGTTTGTAAGGAGCTGCAACCATTACACCATGTTCCACATGACATCATAAGTAATAAATAAAAATAAAATAAATTAAAAACAAAGATTAGTCCTCTATCAGCAGGAGGCATGGTGAAATAGGAGCACGCACTTACATTCTCGTAGGAACAACACGCAAATACATAGTCAAAATAACTAACATCACCGCATACACAAATTCAAGTACGAATTGTTAGTGTCCCGCATGGACACTTCAATTCAATTAGATCAGATCAGAATCCTGCCCATTCGTCGACGATATAAAGTAACGATTCGTCGCAATTTTGATTTAATTACGGTAAAAGTCTCCGATATAACTTCAAATATAAAATAATATACAACCTCCCAATATAACGAAAGGGGTGATTTGAAACCAATTAATTTGCAAATGCCCATCCGTCCTGAACAAGGAGCTATTATTAAAGAAAATTCCAATACAAAACCACTCTCAGCATCCGATAATTTTTCTTTCATCATTTCATAACCGGCCTCCACTCGTTCATTTTTTAAAATACGTTGTTCGACAAATTCACTTAATGCCGCGCCAAATGAACCGTGTTCGCATAATAAAAGATTTTGTACTCAAAAGCGATTTCAGAATGGACGATATTCGCGTGAAATGGTAAAATTTTGCACTCCGCGCTCGTCTCTTCACTTGTTATATTGTATTATTTTTTTCGCGCTCCGCTAGTTTCGCACGGAGGAAAGCAATAACGGGAATAAAGTAAGAAATAATACGTTAATATGCCGAGGAATTCAATAAAGGAAAATCTATATGGAATATCTAAACTGTTGATTTACGAGATAGTTGTGTAGACTGATGTTTCATTGAAAATTTAATTTGTTCAAAACTCTCGAAAGAGCAATGGATTGTTAAAGAATGATTCACTTACTTCCTACAGATAAGGGGGAGTTAAAAGATTACATTTTCCGGTAAAAGACATGCCAATATGCATATAAAATGACTGCATACATTACAGACAGATCGTAGTTCCGGTGTTATATGTTTTTAATTACCATATTAATATAATAATTATAGCTGGCATAGAAACTTGATTGCCTACACTAAAAAATGTGTCAGTCAAATGCCTATTGTCGTTGACAAGACTTCAAACAAGGTAATGGCGAAAATAGTTTGTTTTACTATTTCTATTTAATTCCTATTATTAAATTAAATAAATATACACGTTCACTGTAAAGTAAAATCTATCATAACTTCCCTAAACCAATTTATAAATTTCTCTTGCAGTCGTAGAGATCCACAAAGGCGAAAGTCTTGAGCTGGCTCACGTGCAGCGCACTGACATGGGTGCATATTACTGCATTGCCAGCAACGGGGTACCGCCCACCGTCAGCCGCCGGTATCACGTGCAAGTACATTGTAAGTCATCCACCTGTCATTTCTATAACGATTTTTAAATTTAGAACGTTCAACTTATATTCCTTTTAAAAGAATATTAGTGGTAATATAAAACGTTCTAAATTTGAAATCTTCAAATTAAATACTAATTCTATATTATTGTTTTACTATTTTATATCAGTTATACCACAAGTCAAAGCTGCGCTACAATTAGTGGGGGCTCCGCTTCGCAGTGACGTAGAACTGCAGTGTTATATTGAAGCCTCTCCGAAAGCTATGAACTCCTGGTATCGGGAAGATGGTAAATTATTTACAATTAATAATTTCGTTAACATATTTTTTTTTTAATAAACCCCTAAGGGGTTAACTTAAGTGCCTGCAGGGCTACACAATAGAAATATACAAAAAACTAATTAAAACATTACAACAAATAGAAAAAAACCTTATTCTTGATATTTTTCTATTTCTTAACTCCACAATTATTTCCGATACAAAAAACACATCGTTTTGTTAATCTCCTCCCGATTTCGATTTCAAGCCATCAAAAATACTAGTCGAAGTTAGCTTAGCTTAGTAAAGCACGCTAAAAGTGATACACTTCAATCTTAAACAAACCAAAAGCCTAAACATAGTATTACACCAAAAATACCTTGCGCCTGTGATCTATTACCAAGCAATCAAGTCCTGTCCGAAACTTAAATGACTAGGTAATGGCCGCCCTTGATTACAGTTGCACATGGTAAAAGACATTTCCGTGTACCACGCGTAAGGTCAATTAACATTAGGTTATCTAGGAGTTGGAATACCGCCAGACAATTGAGAGACAAATTACCGGAGACTAATGCCTGTTCTATCGAGAACTTTGACATCTCTATCGCATTAACGCAGCATTCGTGAATCGAACTTCATAGAAGACAGATTATATCTAATCTTTGGAATATTACTCGATAGACTAGAACGTTCTATTTTTATCGCATTCTTCTTTTGAATTTTAAATATTTCCTATTCTGTGCGATTTAATAACGGTACACTACTAAAGTATAATAAGTCTGGACTTATTGAATTTATTGCTTGGGTTTTTCATACAAAACTATTGTGGAAACAAGGTTTTACGTAACGCGGTTTGGATGAATTAAATGATAGAACTGCCACTTGTAATTGACATAGAGGTTGTGGATTCGATTCTAAGCAAAGATAGGCTCATTTTCTTGCTTATAAATAATTACTAATATTAATAAACTACCTTTACATTTCATAAGGTGGTTCTTTATTTTTTCATATATTATTTATTTTATTATATCTATATATATATATACGTTAATATTAACGAGTTAGTGGTCTTTGGGTAATTCTTCTAAATAAAAAGACAAACTCAAATAGGCGTATATCCGGAGGTCCTCGATTCAGTTCGCGGTGAAGCAATAATTGTTTCGGCTTTGTATACAATGATCACCTAATTAATGCCTTTATCAATGTAGTAAATATGTCTATCATTCTTCATAGTAATCTTAAACTTGAAAAATATGTTTTGAGGTAAATCGAAAAACCTAGTGCCAAAAGACCAACGGATGTGTTATAACATCTAACATCTTTGTATATCGAAACAAAAAAGGTTTCATAACTCTTAAAGTCACATGAACCACAGTTTGGCACAAACTGTAAACAAAGAGAATTTATACATAATGCGTTTCAGCGTTGGTGAGCGATAAACTGCTAGAGAATCCAAAGTTCCGTATAGTGGAGCGCTCGGTGAACGAGTATTCTTTATGGATGAACCTGACTATAAAATCGCTGGCTTTCGGCGATTTTGGCACTTACGTGTGCGCCTCAGTCAACGCGCTCGGAAAGATGGAGAGTCAAGTTAGCTTACACAGTGAGTTATTCTTCGTTTGTGTTTAAAAATCGAACGTCCTTGTTATTTTATTGATATCAGTTATGGCGTTTTAATGAAACTTCGGCCGCTTTCTATACTCAATCCCATTGACATTTATCAATGGGATTGATTTTTTGTCAATTTTTACCCTTATAGCAACAATAATTTATCAATAGCGATATTAGTACTGTAATATCATTGACTGTTAAACGTTTGTCGTCAGTGTATATTAATATAGCCTATTTAAATAAATTTTCACAGAAATCGACGTGAATCTTAACGGCCCAGGGGATGTACCCTTGGTATCTGGGGCAGCGTGGCAGCGCGCGAGAAATTTACCAGCCCGAGCACGTGCGTCCCCATCACATTACATCACACAGCACCTCGCCCAAATACACGCCATATTACTGACAACTTTAAGATATATGTATAATGACTTTACTTAGATGTCAAACGCGTAATTCAAAATCGAACAAAACTACTTTGAATTGGGTGAAATCCTCTATTGTTATTGGAATCAACTCATAGTTTCTACAGAATAGCAAAACTAAATCTAGCACAGATTAACTAAAGTCATCTCTCTTATCATTATAGTGTAAACAGAATTGGGCAGAAAGAGATGAAAGATTACTTTAGTTAGTGAAATTTAGTTTTTATCACAAGATAGTCTCGTCTTGACAGCTGTCAAATATGTCAAACTTCATACAGAAATTATGGTTGACAAATCCTGAAAGATTTTGATTTGGAATGGAAAACAAAATAAAAATAGAATATAGAATCATTCCAAATTGAATTCTTAAAGTTTAATATTGTTGAAGACTAAATTAATTTATCTCGTGTGTATAATAATGTGATATACGTTAGTATCATTTAATCTAGTAAATAGATAAAAAATAGATATTTATTTTATAGATGTTATATTGCATAATACTATCCAATTTTTTAACATACACGATCTGGATACAAGTCCTTTCGCCGAAATGATTTTTGTAAGTAGCCAGACTAAATTTGTAAATAGTTCAATAGTCTACGGTTGTCGTATATACTGTGGGGCAAATTTTGTATGAGACGTTCGGCCTCTAAAAGTAACGGAGTTTATCTGAAACTGTTACTTATGTGTGAATATTCGTGAATTGGGAATATATCGGAAAACTTCTTACAATCCATAAAATTGTGTTATTCGTTTGGCTTTGATTGTTTATCTATAAACCAGGTCAATGCTGTTACTCTACTAATATTAAAAAGCTCTTAACTTTTACTGAGAACACATTTAAGGGGAAATTTTAAACTGAAAAACTCCTCAATATAATACAAATTCCCAGATCTTTCTCCCGAGTAGTGCCTGTCTGGATTAGGCTTCTGCGAAGTGTAATTAAATCGCGAACGTTGACCTCCTTAAGATCTCTTTCGAACATCGCATGCAAAAATAAATAAATAATAGAAACCCATAGACAAGAAATATATTATGTTCTGTGATTTTGTCAAGTGTCATGTAGTTTTTGACATTTCCAAAGCATCGTCATTTAATTTGTATAGTTACAAATTCTATGCATGTCCGTGCTTCCGTTAAGCGAAAATCTGTTAATTACTAATTTAGACTTTGTTTGTAAGTAGGACTCTTGTATGTCAAATATATATTTTATAATATTATTTACATTAATTAACACGTCTGTCAAATGCGCGTCAAACTGTTATAAAACCACTTTAAATTTTTAATGTCTAATAATATCTGTTGTGTTCAATTTGTCACATTAAAAAGGTGATAGTTAATAAATGTAACATAATGTAAACTATTTTAAAATAACTCTAAGCGTATTTATCACATAAAGTATTAAATATTAGAACTATCTTAGGGATATAAATTCTGACTTAACTTTAATATTCATATGTATATTACGTTGACTTTGACAATAAAATATGTGTAACTAAATAAATGTCTGATAAAACGATTTCTAGTTTAATTTTAAAAATATGCTTAAGTAATATACAAGTTTTCACTTAAATATGCTTTAAGAACCCGTTTTTAGTGCTTTGATAAAAGTTACATTTTCTTAAAATCCTTATTAATTTCTCCTACGTCTCGTAGCTGAATTTTTTAGAAGCTAAAATTTCTTACGGATCTTCCGACTATTCAAAGAAACTCCTGAAGTAACTCTCCCATTTGTCCAGAGCGTGTGACGTCTATTCCTTTTAAATTTTGACCAGGGTCGATAATTTTTGAAACCTAAAAAAAATAGTAGGATGAAACCCATTGGAAAAGAAAAATAATTTACGGGCGATCTGAGGTCGAAGGGGGGGGGGTTAGTTTTAAGGGTAAAAACGGTTTATCTCGATTTCCGGCAAAACTAAAAGTCCTATGGAAAAAAGTCAAATGGCAAAGTTGTAGGTAATAAAAAGATCTAAAACTTTTGTATTTATACATTTCACAAATTTTTGAAAAAAGCTGATATTTTGACGGGTGAACTTTCGATTGAATTTTTGAATTTTTTTGAATTTTTCACATAAATTTTGAGGTTATGTGAAAAATGTGTACATGACGTAAACGTATATATCACATGACTCAATATATTTTTTTAAATAAAAAAAATGGATGTCCAGAAAGTAAATGTTTGTAAGTTACATAAAATAATACATTAGCATCAAAGTACTCATAATTTACTGATTAGCTACTATATTTCTAAATATATTGATTTACAAATATTTATTTATTTATTACATTATTATTATTTATTTATTTACAGCCCAATGGCCAAACTTAGACTAAAAACAATAAAATACAATTAAGATTTACAAAATGGACAGTAAATGCTATCCTCTTATCCCCTCCAGGTATACTCTGAAATCACAGTATACTACCCCCAATATTGCACCTACGAACAAAAAACGCCAACACGTAATATGCCAAAGTAACTTTACGAAGCAAATAGGTTATAATTAGTCATAATATGTACAATGAAAGTTATTATCTATTACAAAATACTTATTGTTTTGCAGTGAGGATGCAAAATTTTGCCTCTGATCTCTGCATCTATTTAAGGTTACTAGGCGTCGTAGCCATGTTTTGTGGCCTAAAATGCCGTTTTCCTGACGATGTTTTTCCTCGTAGGGGTATTAATTATGAATAAATAAAATGAACAAACCACGGCAGGGTTGATCATACGACCTCAAGTTTGTTAATTTAAAGCTTACCCACTTAGGTACTGCTCAAGGTAACTATTTAAAAATAAGAATTTATAAGACCTAAAATCTAATCAAATCTAAAAACTAACGAAGCTATCTAGTCTTTGAAGTACATGTATTTATACCCGGCGTACCGTATTCAACTTCTAACAAAAGAATAACTTCAATTTATAATAAGAAATCACGCCGAATGTCAAACACATTCCCCAAATATGGTCAATGAAACAAACACAGAAGAATGTCCATCTCGCTTGTTGCGCGGTAAAACTTAATTATATATTTGAAATTAAATTTATATTGCTAGTTACTGTAACTACATCTCAGACAAAATATAGTTATTATATTATCTCTCTATTATCTGTTTTACGTTAATTTTGTTTTGATATTATTATTTTTTCCTACAATTAACAAAATAGAGTTAGACTTTACATGAATAAGCATCTAGCCTATACAATAATGATGGCTAATAAGTAATATTCTGTTGACTTAATTTTCTACAATACTAGTGAATAGCTTAAACTAAGGTAATGTTCGTTAACAGTACCTAGTGTTCTATAATGTTTTAACATTATGCTCGTGTGTCCGAGATACCGCACTTGCACTTATATTCACAAGGTTTATAAACTCAAAATTTTATTGTTATTATTAAATTTTTAATTTATGTCAATTGAATACAATTCATCGTATTTAGTTTGCTATGGAAGAGCTAGGATACCTCTCTCACACAGATATATTTTACTGATCAGGATACCTAAATTAAAAAAAAAATGCCTGTACTAATAAAATTCAAAATTCCAAAATCATTTATTAGGGTAACAAAATGTACACTTATGAACGTCAAAAAATAAATATACCTATATGAAATGCTTCTAATTGTACATTTATTACCAGTTCTCAAATCAAGGGCGTAGAACGGAAAAGGAATAATCTCTCCGCCACTCTTTTTAATCGCCATGTTTTTTTGTTTTACACAATTTTTGTAAGCAGCTGCAACCGTTACACGATAATCCACATGACTAAACCAAAGAATAAATAAATCCAAAGAATAAACACATGTTTTTATTTATCTTACGACCGCAATTTATTACGCCTTACTATCACTGTACACTCAATAAAACTTGTTATATTTTATGCTCAGCAATTATTGTGCAGTTTAAACGCCGCGTTAAGAAACGTAGGACAATGATGAATGGGACACCATTAGCGTGCTAATGCATTTTTCGTGTTGCACTTGAATTAATGCGTCAATCTTATACTGTAAATACAGAAAATTGCTCTTAAAAATCCTTATTTTTCTGCTTAGACATTGAGGAATGTTAGTTATATATTTTGAGCTGTGTACAGTGCGCTAAGCGATGGTACTGCGACACAATTCAAGGTAATATTTGACCCACAGATTCGTATTCTTATAGTGCCAACTCCTTGCGAAGGTAGGCAATCATCATAGCTAGTTTAATTTTGGATGCCGCGCTTCTAAACAATGACTTGGTGCTTTGACCAAACTATTGTCTTAGGTTTTTCAAGCAATACGTGCGTCTGCGGCCAGGTCTCCTTCTACCTGCCACTTTGCCTTGTATGATTAGTTGACGGAGCTCATAATTTTTGGAGTTACGTAAAACGTGTCCGAAATACTCAAGTTTCCATTTCTTAACCGTCATAAGCACTTCTTTGTTCTTCTGCATTCTGTCCAGCACGGTTGTATTTCGTATGCGGTCTGTCCAAGATATATTAAGTATCTGCGATAAACCCAGATCTCAAACGCTTCCAGTTTTTTGGACATAGTCTTCAGAGACTGACATTAGCGTTCAAGATTCTGCGCTGTAGAGCAGCACAGAGAAGACGTAACATCGCGCAATGCGAGTACTAAGCTGTAAATTGAGTCGCTTGTCAATTCTGCAGCGGATTTCGATGCTATGGTCACCCTTTTCATTAATCACTCTGCCTAAATATCGTATTTTCAAGACACGTCCTAAGGTCTGATTGTTGAGATGTATATGCTGCGTAAAAGGCTCCGGTGTTCGGCTTATTGTCATATTTAGATTTTTTGACTTTGAACATCAGATGTCTGCCATTAATGATTAAACTTATATGGTAAGATCTAACCGACATAGACATAATACGACGAATGTTGAAAAAATATAAGAAACAGAAATCCAAGTTTCAAAACTGCTATTTTTCTATTAAAGAATCCACGTATTTCTGTAAATCTTAGTATTCTACGAAGATCTCTATAACAAGTCAAGCTTAATGGAAGGTTTAATGAGAA